GCAGGTTTTTGATGCGCTGAATTCTTTAGCAAGTAATTGTGCTGTGGGTGAGGACGGCCTCGGCGCTATAATCCTGCAGGCTGGTGGGTGGCGCGTTGCGAAAATCGTCGCCGATATTATCCATGATATCGCGTATGTGAGGCATGTCCCCATAGTCTGGAGGGGTGGCAAGCTCGTGGTGATCTACAAAGGCAAGGGCACCGCCACTGATCCCGACAACTACCGCGGGATCCTGGTGTCTGACCATGTGGGCAAGATCCTCACCTCCCTGCTCCAGGACCGCCTCCATGACTTGTACTTGCGCGTCGTCGGGCCCTCGCAGTTCGGTGCGGTCAAGCACAGGGGCACGGCCATGGCCTCGCTGGTGTTGCGGTCCTTCATGGACATGTGCGCCATGAAGGGCTGGAGCTTTTTCGCCCTCTTCGTAGACTTATCCAAAGCCTTCGACTACGCTATCCGGGAAGTGGTGATAGGATGGATGCCCGACGTAGCTAACCGTGACGTCCGCGAGAAGCGGGACCTCTTGCAAAAACTTGGAGTCCCTTCGGACTCCTCTCAGCAGCTGGCCGCGTGGATCGACGAGACCGGCGGTCTTCTGAAGGCGTGCGGAGCTGATGCTGCGGTGCGTGAGCTGGTCGCTTCTCTGCATCACGGCGCTTGGTTTCGTCTCCCAGGGGACGACTCCTATATCGTGACCGTCGCTGGGGGCCGGCAGGGGTGTAAATTAGGGGCGCTGGTATTCAATCTCATCTACAGCCTTGCCCTCACGATGTTAAAGAAAGACCTCATCGACCTTGGGATTGTCCTCTGGGTCAGCCGGTCCACAACTCACCAGTTCTGGAACGATGCGTCGACGTCGGTCGCTTGGTCGCCCGAGGAGCACTTCTCGCCAGTCTTCGAAGTCACGTTCGTGGACGACGAGTGCATTTTTATCGCCGCCACCTCCCCCCGCATCATGATGGCAGCAGTCCCGAAGCTGATGCACCGCCTGTGCAAGACCTTCCAGTATTTCGGGTTTCAGATCAACTGGAAGCCCGGGAAAAAGGAGTGTTTCATCATCCTGCGCGGCACTGGCGCGGTGAAGCACATGCAGCAAATCCGAGATGATGGTATGACCGTCAAGCTCACCAACCAGTCGCCCCCCCTGCGGGTCGTCAGCGAGTACAAGCACCTCGGGTCCATGATCTGCCGCGACGGCGACCTCGTGCCGGACGCGATACACAGGTCTGCCACAGCAATGGCCTCCTACTGCCCTCTGTCGTCGAAGGTGTTTGGATGTAGGCGGATCGGCCGCCAAGTGAGATTATCGCTATTTTCTTCACTCGTGCTCTCCAGATTGATTTATAATGTTCACACGTGGAGCAATATCCCACGAAAGGCGTATGTGAAATTGAACGCTGTGTACATGCGCGGCCTCCGGCGCATAGCTGATTCGTCCAGGTTCAAAGCATCTGGGCACGGCAGCGATCGACATGTCCGGCAGGCCTTGGGCTGCCCTAGCCTGCAGTGTCTGATCAGTCAGCGCCGGCTCCTCCTCTTGTCCTCCCTCCTGAGGTTTGCCCCTCCCCATGTCCCTTCGTTGCTCTCTATCCGGGCGGGCCCCGAGGAGAAGCAGCTTCCTTGGACACGGCTTGTTCTCAGTGATCTTGAGCACCTGGCGAGTTTTCGCGCGGCCAGACTGGCCGAGCTTGGCTCGCCGAAGACAAATGCTGAAGCATGGGCTTCGTTTATCATCAGTTTCCCCGCCCAGTGGACATCGCTTGTAAAGTCCATGATTATTCAGGATATGCCTCTCGACAGCCCTGTCGAGAAGACAGAGCTGCCCGCTGCGGCGGCTCGCTTTCAGTGCCCTTCCTGCCCCGCGCGCTTCCCGACTGAGAAGGCGCTGGCCTCCCATCAGAGGGCGAAGCACAAGCTTCGGTCTCCGTTCCTGGCGTACCTCCCCAAGTCAGGAATGTGCCCGATTTGTCGCATGCAGTTCTCCTCTCGTCCCCGGCTCCTGGCCCATGCGATCGAAACCAGGAGGCGGGGGCGCCGCTCCATTTTGTGTAGTGATTTGCTTCGTGCTGGACTTGCGAGCCCCCTCCCGCCAGACGAGCAAGAAGAGGCTAACCAGGCAAACCGCATACAGCGCGGCGCTGCCCAAAAGAGAGGGCGTACCCAGCCCCTCTCCAGCCAGCCTGCGAAGCGAAGAGCGGTGTCCTCGACCGTTCCTCCCCACTCCTACTGTCCAAAAGTTGGATTCCAATATCTTGAGGGGGAGGCCAATGTGCCCCCCAACGCAGTCAGATGGGAGGACATTCGTCCTCGCAAGAGACTGCGAAGCAAAGTCGGGCTCGACCGCGTGGCCCTGTCCCTCGCACGAGCCGAGGGTCGATTCGACGTGTCGTTTTGATGGCGCGTGCATGTTTTTTGAATTCACTTCATCTGCACAGGCTTCGGTCTAGCTTCGACGGAAAAATATGGATGTATGTATGTATGTATGTATGTATGTAGGTAGGTAGGTAGGTAGGTATGTATGTATGTATGTATGTATGTGTGTGTGTATGTATGTATGTATGTATGTATGTATGTATGTATGTATGTATGTATGTATGTACATATATATATATATATATATGTGTATATGTATGTATGTATGTATGTATGTATGTATGTATGTATGTATGTATGTATGTATGTATGTATGTATGTATGTATGTATATGTATGTATGTATGTATATTATATATATATATATATATAGATATATATATTATCAGGCGCACCTCTCCGAGGGAGTCGAGCTCAGAGGCGATTAGCGCGTACGCTGGGCGCCGCGCCCGCGATTTTTCTGGCCGTTTCGCTAGGGGCATCCTCGACATTCTGAAAATCGGTGGCACCCCTCACGCAAATCGTGACGTCAGGGTCCAAAACACATGGGAATTTCAACATTTTAACATAACACCTTCAAGAACACATGGTATTTTCAATAATTTTGACCCCGATTCTCAGAGAATGGCGGTTTCGCCTGAAACATCCTCCTCACATCGAGCCCCGACGTACCCTCTGGTACCCCAGACCCTGCCTCGGAGCCTTCTGGGGGCCTCCTGGAACCTCCTGGGGCCCCCTGGGGCTTTCTGAACCTTCTCCCACACCCCGCCTCGGAGCCTCCTGGGGGTCTCCTGAAACCTCCTGGGACCTCCTGGGGCCTCCTGCGGCCTCCTGGAGCCTCTTGGGGCCTCCTGAAGCCTCCTGGGGTCTCCTGGGGCCTCCTGAGGCCGCCTGGGGCCTCCTGGGGCCTCCTGGGGCCTCAGAACTACATGCACACACAGAGACACAAATCACGCCCAACACATCACACGCTAGACAAACATAACACACACAACACCTACAACGCACAAAAAGCACGCACAACACAGAGCACACATCACACACACACACACACACACCCACACAACACTCACAATCCTGGGGCCTCCTGGAGCCTCCTCTGGTATCCAAGTCGGGCCTCCTGAGGCTTCCTGGGGGGCCCTGGTACACGCATCGCAAGGTGTTGCAACCCCACTAGCGCTCGAGTGCGACTTCGCTGTTGCATTTCACTCCTACTTCAAACGCCCCTTCAGTTTTTTTTATGAGCCTGGGAACACACGTGCCACTTGTATGTATATATGTATATATGTATATCTATATATACACATATATATACACATACATATATATACACATATATATATATATATATATATATATATATATGTATATGTGTGTGTGTGTGTATATATATAGTAGCTTTCGGGCCATCCCGCCGCCGTGCCTTGGTTGTCGGCCTCAGATCCTTTGTGCCTGGGTTGCGGGTTTGAAGTTGCATGCCTGAAGTGGTACATGGGGCATCTTTTGAGCTTCTTGGGGGCCTCTTGGGGGGCCTCTTGAGGGCCTCTTGGGGCCTCCAAGAGGCTCCGAAACGCGGACAGATCGGTCGAACACGCCCAAGACGCCCCCCAGATGGCCCACGAGGCTTCCAACACGGCCCACGGGGTCCCCAAGAGCACTCCCAAGCCAAAATCATTGTTTTTCCTTCTGTTATTGGTGCATTTCAGCGTTCTTGCCGTGCAGCTTCCCGACGCTCCAAGCCGGTCCCGGACACCCAAATATCACCCCAACAGGCCCCCACGAGAGTGCCGAGACGGCTCAGGCACGCCCCCAAACGGCCCAAGACAGCCCCAACACAGCTGAAAAAGGCCGCGAGAGTCTTCCAAGAAGGTTACAGTCACCGAGACGGCTTACGAGGCCTCCAAGGCAGCTCAAGAGCGCCCCCAACCTTACGAGCTCTCCGCCCCTGGAGGCCTCAAGAGGCTCCCAGCGGCTCCCAAGACACCCCCAGGAGGCCCCAACACGTCCCGTGGAGCTTCCCAGGACGACCCAGGAGGCCCTCCCAAGGCACCCACCAACTCCCCACCAGACGCCGTGAGACACCCCTGACGATCTTCGACGCGGTCCCGAGAAACACATGGCCCACGGGGTCCCATTAGGCTTCCCCAAGAAGCCTTAGGTTTTCGGTGCATTTCAGCGTTTCTGCCTGTGCAGCTCCCGACGCTCCGACACGGTCCTGGACGCCCAAGAATCGCCCCAACAGGCCCCCACGAGGGCGCCGCGACGTCCCAGGCACGCCCCCAGACGGGAACGGGGGGAGCCCGTCCGTGGTTTCGGGGTGTCCGTCCACGAACGAGGGGGGTCTGTGGAGGGATGGCAGGGGGGGTCCGCACGCAGAATGGCCCAGGACCCGCCAAGAACGCTCCACGAGTAATTCCGAGAGGCCTGCGAGAGGTGAGAACCAGTGATTTCCAAATTGTTTTTCAGTGATTCTAGGGTGCTCGCATTCTTTGTCTTCAGAGCGTCCGAGATGGCCTGGGAGGCAGCCCAGATTACCCCAAGACGGCACGAAAAAGGGGCGCCAACAACGTTCCAATTACAGCCAAAGAAGGCCCAAGAGGGCCCCAAGATGCCCAAATGTGGTTCCGTAGTCATCTGGCTCAAACCATTTCGAGCCAAGCCAGTTTTGTTCAGGGCTACAGTTTGGCTTAAGCTTACTTGCTCGAGGCAGGTTTCATTCTTTACCTCTCCGCGCTTCTCCCTTCGCGCAACCATGGCCTTCATGGCGAGAGCTCTCTCGCTCGCGGGCCTGTTGACTACCGTGGCATCCGTGGAGTACAAAAGGTTACGCCACCAAACACCGGAGATAGTTCTACATGCGCGGAACTCGCTACAGCTGGCGAGTGGCAAGATCCGACGGAGGATGAGTGCAGGCAGTATGCCGTGGGGGAGGTTACGGGCGCCACGTTTGAAGGGACAGGTGGTACAAATGATAATATTCCATGCGGGTGCACCACCGCCGACTTCAACGACAATAAATACTGTTATAAGCCATGTGAAGCGGGAGTAGACACGACAAGCTCGGAGTATCACCACATTCGCATCAAGACCGTCAGTTTGCCCACATCTGCCGTCACTTGCGAGAGCATGACCTGCCTTGAGAGGTTCAGGTATTGGTGCGAGGAGAGCAAGAAGGGCTTAGGCTCCAACAATAATAACGTGGCGGCCGCGAGCTCTCCGAAGGACATGCTCGTTGAAGAGTGCTCCCAGTGCACTGGCGCCGCCGACACGGACACTTGCCCAACGAAGCTTCGCTTGTACGATGCTGCTCCGGAGGCGGAGCTGACCTCGGAGCTCGACAAGACGTCGACGTCCGTTGCGGTGTCAATGCCGCTCGGATTGGTGTCCGCTCTCGTCGCCATGGGTGCGGTCGTCGGTGTCTCCCGCAGCCGCGCGTCCAACCAGCCAGTGCCCGTAGAGGACGAGCGAGATTTGCTGCGCGAATGAACGAGTACGCCTGCATCTAAGGACCAGAGGACACAGAGCTCGCCGAGTCCTGCATACTTTTCTGAGATGGCTCCCTGCCTGACATTCGCAATCGCTTTGCGCCAGCTCAGCGATCAAAGTTGCGTACATTTCTCTCTCTCACGCTGTCTCATACGAAAAGCCCTACATCCTGCTTACCCCCCTCCTCCCGACGTCCCCGCAGCCCTGGATCTGTATTGGGTAGCTGCTCTGCGTGGGCTCCAGGATCGGCGGGAAGCGGTGCTCTGGCGCCGCTCGGATCGCAGTAAGGAGACCAACCTTCTGCAGGCCCACGGGTACTTGGGGCTCCCCCTCACTTCAATTTGGGGCTCCATTTTTCATGTCAGCCCATTTCAATCTTCTCATCGTCCTCCCCCTCACTGACATGGATTCGGGTCGTCTGATGCTTAAGAGCCTCATCAGTACACAAGCAGGAAAAATAACAATGCCCCAATATGGTCCCCAGAGAGGCTCATGACAGCCCAAGGCTGCCCAGGATGGGCTCAAGACGGCCACGAGACGCCAAGGGAGACCCAAGACGGCCCAGAGGGGCCCAATACGGCCCAAGACTGGGGCGCCATGACGGCCCAAGGGACGGCTTCAAGAGCGCCTCGGAGGAGCCTGAGACGGCCCTACGTAGAGGCCAGAATCACCTCGCGCTTGTTTGAAAGGCTCCTCGGAGGTGACTATAGAAGCTAGCGCGCACCCCATTCCTCCTTGGACATGCTCCCCCCCTGTGTCCCGGGTTTCTAGTGGAGATGCCGGTAGTGCGAAGTCGTCTTACGTGGTTGATCGTGCCGAAGCTGTTGCCAGCCACACAGGCGGTCGTTTGTTTGCACCCTGCATGCATTGCTTGAAAAACAATGTCGGGTGATGTGGATAATTTTGGCACCCTCGTGTTGTCTGTAAATCCATATGCGCCGTATGGGGTGTCTGTCGGTCAGTGGAAGAAGGAGACTCGGGTGCAGGATCCAGTCCTGGCCCTTCCCAGGTATGGAGGAGTAGGGGGAGGGGAAAGGGGGGAGGGGAGGGCCGCACGGCGTCGAATTTTCGTCCCCGGAGCAGGCAGGCCATTTTGAGTGGTCCGGGTGGTTCTCTGGACCTCGACAATCTTCTTCGGCGACCCCACAGGACGCTCAGAGTCCGCAAAGACAGTTCCAAGACGGCCGAAAATGGTCGTAAAAGGGCCCAGGGCCCAAGAGGCCCCCAAGGCGGCCGAAGAATGCCCGAAGAGGATTCTGAGAGGCTGTCCAGGAAGCCTCCGAGAGCCCTAAACTGTTGACAAATAATTGAGTTTCGTGTAATTTTTGCACTTTCGCCCAGATTCTCTTAAACACATCCAAGACGGCTGACGTGGCCCCCGAAGCGCCCCGAAGAGCCGAAGAGGCCCCCAATAGCCCCAAATAGCCCCATCCGCATCCAGATCATCATCATCTTCATCATCATCGTCATCATCAGCAGCAGCATCATCATCACCCACCATGCATGCCTCGTGGCCACAGAAAGCTCCATGGAAGGTCTCAGTAGTAGGGTTCGCACTTCGCATGTTTGATGGCAACCATTTCGGCACACCTCTCACTAGGATTGTGGCCCCACAGGGCGGTCCACCGAAAGCCCCATTGGCTGGATTCATATTTGTGACGGCGCCGATTTCAGCGCACCTTACACGAGGATCGTAGCCCCCAAAGGTAGCTCCACCAATGGCCGCAGCGGCAGGGCTCGCATGCGTCACGGCGCCCATATCGGCACACCCTCACGATCTGCGTGAGGGGGTGCCACTGAAGTTCAAACATGTGGCAAATCCCTTGTGTTTTTGGACCCTGACCCTGCGGATCTGCGTGAGGGGTGTCAGTTTTTACCCCCCTAGAAATTCTGAGAACCCTCCCAGGGCGTGGTAGTTCTGCTGGTTTGGGCTCCCCACCCTCGCGCGTTCATCAACAAGGAACAGTGAGCAGCAAGAAGCGGAACTGTAACAGTGGAAACTGGAAGCTGCAACTGGTACGGAGCAGCACATTCCCGGCCTACAGCCTGGTGGCCCCGCAAGGGGGCTGGCGGATATGTGTGTGTATATATCTATATATGTACATATGTGAGAGAGAGAGAGAGAGAGAGAGAGAGAGCGTGATCCACCGCCGCTTTACTATGGAAAATTGCCAACCTTTTCCTTTGGAACCCAGGGGTCGCCCCCCCCCCCCCTCCGAAAATCCCCCTTCTGGACCCCCCCCCCCCTCCCCGGCAAAACCCTCCCCCTCCCTAACCCCTCCCCCCCCCCCCCCCCCCTCCCCTCGAGAACCGAAGGGGGTCATTACAGGTTCGAACCCCTCCCCCCCCCCTCTCCGGATCCGGAAAACCGGGGGGGGGTCACTACCGGTCCGAACCCCCCCCCCTCTCGAAAACCGAGTGGGGGTGCGGACAGTGGTGGGGACGGTGTTGGCGGGGACAGTGGTGAGGGGACAGCGGGACAGTGGTGGGGACAGTGGGACAGTGGGACAGTGGTGGGGACGGTAGTGGTGGGGACAGTGGTGGGGACAATGGTGGGAACAGGGGGGACAGTGGACAGTGGTGGTGACGGTGGTGGTGGGGACAGTGGTGTGGGGACAATGGGAATGAGGTGGAAACAGTGGGACAGTGGAGGGTACAATGGTGGTGGGGACAGTGGTGAAGGCGGTGGCGAGGACGGCGGTGGGACAATGGGACAGAGGTACAGTGGGGACAGTGGTGGGGACAGTGGGGACAGTGGTGGGAACAGTGGGACAGCTCAGTGGGACAGCGGAGGAGTCAGTGGGACAGTGGGGACAGTGGGGATAGTCGGGCAGTGGTTGGGGCCGTGGAGACAGTGGGGAGAGTGGAACCGTGGTGGGAACAGTGGTGGGGACAGTGGGGACAGTGCGACAGTGGTGGGGGCACTGGTGGGGACAGTAGGGACGGTGGTGGAACCAGTGGGGACAGTGGTGGTGAGGACAGTGGTGCTGGGAACAACAGTGGGGGATGTGATGCGGACGGTGGTAGGGACCGGGAGTCGTTTGCTGGCGGTGCGTGGGGGGGGTCGAACCGGTAGTGACCCCCCTCCGGTTTTCGAGGGGGGGGCTCGAACCGGTAGTGACCCCCCCCGGTTTTCCGGATCCGGAGGGGGGGGGGGAGGGGTTCGAACCGGTAGTGACCCCCCCCAGTTTTCGCGGGGGAGGGGGGGGGGAGGGGTTAGGGGGAGGGGGGGGGTTTTGCCGGCGTTGAAGAGCTAACCGTCCGACATCTCCGTCTCCGATTCCACCACTGCTGGATTCTCCTCCGAACATGTGTCGTCCAGGATGTCCTGCCTCCTCGCCAGTCTCCTGAGGAGCCTGAGGGCCTCTGGAGGCCTGATGGGCAATGGCTGCCCCAGATGTGGTGGTACGGGGAGTCGGAATCGTAATCTCAATAATGTGTTCACTGAGATAGCGAGGCGAGTGAAGAGGCGCTCTCGCTCGCTATCGTCGGTTCGGGTGCGGACCATTTTTGCGCTCAGTGCAAACGGTCCTTGAGCCAAAATTTACGGACAGCTCGTGTCCGCAAGCGGGGGTGGCGTTGCCACCACCTCCGCCTCAAGCAACCCCGAGGCACCAAAACTGTATGCCTGAGGTGGTCCAGGAGGTGGCGTTGCCACCACCTCCTGGGCAGCACCGAGCCCTTGGCACGATGCAGGTCGAAGCGTTCCCCTAAGCACTGGCGGAAAATCTATACAACTCTTGCCGGAATTGTGATTTTGGGTGTACCGGCCTATCCGCATAAAACCGGCTCTGTGGCAATCTAAACGGTCGCGGGCTGGGGGTCCTCCACCCTTGCGCGATACTGATTGTCACCATCGGGTTCCGGCAGAGCCCTGCCGGAACGCGCTGTGCGCACTTGAATCTGTAACCCCTTTGGGCCCAAAACGAATCAGGGGTGGACACGGCAAGCCCCCTCATCCACGCTCCTCCTCATCCTGCGGGCGTCGACGCAGCTAGTCGCAATCGCCTGCAAGGATGCCTCGGGTCCGCGACCCGGGAGGAGGGGGAGGCCAGTCCGACCACAACTGCGCTGAAATCAACATATGTACAAACAAACATGCCTGACCAAGCACTCGCGCGCCAGCGTGTCCATCGACGCCGGTGCATCCCGGCACCTTGAGGTTCAAAACTCTACTGGCTCGGCGGCGCCGAAAATGATCACAAATTCGCAATCATATCGACAGAAAGGGCGATACTGAATGGGCCAGGCGGCTCGCTCGGGCGAGCTGCCCGTGCGGCTGTCGCAAATCCTTGGGTCCGAAATGCGCCCGGATTTTGGTCATTCCGGGGACGCTGAAAGTCTTCGTCAATCCATCGGCGCGCTGCTCCTCTGAGGGCACGTGCCCAAGGTCGAGTAACTTTGCCTCGACCCTGGCACGAATGGCCGCGGCACGATTGGCTAGGCAGCGGGTCCGCCATGACCCGTGCCCTTGGAAAATGCACAGGCTAGCCGAGTTGTCACCCCACATCTTGGTGACCTCAGGCTGCACGAACATAGAGTTCAAGACGGCTTCGGTGCCCTCCAGCACCAGGCCGCCCATCGCCAGAGCGGTCACTTCCGCTTCGGCGGTGCTGCGCGGGGGCTGCGGCTGCTTCGAGGAGCGCCAGTCAATGAGGCAATCGTGAAAATATGCGGCAATGCCTGTTTGCGCACATTCTGGTTCGAATGACGCGTCGGCGAACACCTCCAAAGACGCCCTCCCCCCAGGCCTAAAACTCAAACCGTAATGGCGCGTGCCAGCGAGATACCTAAGGATCCGCTTTCCTAGGCGAAGGGCCCAATGGGGATGAGCAGCTGCAGCGGACGCGACGCGTGAAACAGCATACGCAATGTCTGGCCGGGTCCGGCCCGAGAGTTAAAGCAACCCACTTGACATTTTCTGCGCCAGCCTAATATCCGCGATCTCCGGCTCCTCCTGGCCCTGCAGCTCGGGATCGCCGGCCGGGAGCGGCTCGATGGCGATCGTGCCGGCGGAGTTGCCGCGGTCCAGGCCCCACTTCTCAAGCAGATCGTTGGTGTACTCGTACTGGTGCACGTAGTACCCGTCGGGCCGAGCCTCAATGGACAGGGAGAGGTACTTGATGGTCCCTGGAGCGCTGAACGAAATCAGCGATTG